GTGAGAATTAGGGCCTTTTCAGGCTCACAGCCCTGACCATGGATGTGACCTTCTAGAATCTCAGGTATACGTCAGAGCTTTTTAAAGCCCCTGTGTGTATCTTATCTACGGGCTAGCATTTCCTTTTAAGCTTTTTGACTAGTCTTTTGTTTGTTTCAACTATTATCCATTGCCTTGGGCATCTGCGAAGTTGAAATACTTAATTGTAATTGTTTTAGACAAGCCCCTGGCCTAGTTCCACCGGTAGAAGGAGGCATTTCAGACTGGGCTACTTCAGAATCAGGTTAAATACGACAAGTCTTGTAAGTGGGGTCTTCAGGGAACCTCCAGACAGATTAAATAATGATGGTTCTTTGGGAATGAGGCTTTGAAAGAGCTCCACTTGTGTTCCACTCCCTCTGGTGGCTGCCAAGTTGTGCTGGGAATTCAGGCTGTTCTATTTCAAGGCTGCCACGGAGGTGGGGGGTGGGAAGGTGGAACTAGTAAGTTAAAAGACCACAGAGCTTGCTGTTCTTACAGAGATTCAGCCAGTTTTCTTGCGTAAACACTTTGCAGGCTGCTGCCAGCCTTGATTAATTAATTGCCAGAATCTGAAATGGTTGCTTTTGACTGTTTTTTCCCCCAGGGTTTTTGGTGCTTTTATGGAGAAGCAAATTTTTAGAGGTTTTTACTTCACCATTTTAACTGACATCACCTCTTTGGTTGTTTTTGCTCCCTGCCCCACCCCTTTCTTTCTGAAGTGTAAGGATTAGAAAGAGCGTTTGTTGATGAGTTCTGTTTGTGACATGTTGAACAATGCTATCTGTGGCACATTTAGGAGATGTCTGATTCACAGCTGAGTTTAGGAATCTGGATCTTATTGTAGTCATCCATTTATAGATGATAGTTGAAACTATTAGAGTAGGTAAGATTGCCTAAATAAAGCATTTATAGTAAAATAACCAAAGAGGTTCTATATTCGAGTTGATAATTGCTACAAGAAAAAATGAAAAATCACTCATTATGCAGTCCCTGTAAATTCATGGTCTCTAATCTCAGCCAGTCTCTCAGAACTGCCTATCCTATTCTTTGTCAGTTCTCTCATAACTTTAGTAATTATCTCCTTCTTAAGTCTTCATCCTTTGTCACTCCCCTTAACCCTCACCTTACTCTTAGTCTTTTACTTCAGAAAATTAAAGCCATGTGACTTCTCTCAAATGACCATTCCTCCCACCTCTTTATAGTTGGCCCTTCATATCTTCCAGTTTCGCTTCCTCAGATTCAACCAACTGCAGGTAGAAAATATTAAAAACAAACCCTAAAAAATAGTACAACTAAGAAACAATGCAGTCTAACAACTATTTACATGGCGTTTACATTGTTTTAAATATAATAAATAATCTAGAGATGATTTAAAGTATATGGAAGGATTGTGAAAATATACCATTTTACATAAGAGACTTGAGCATCTGAGGATTTTGGTAACCTCAGGGTCCTGAAAGCAATCCCCCACGGATACCAAGGGACAACTATTTATTTTTATCCATAGGTTAATGATACTGGAGAATTGAAGGCACTAATGAAAAGACTTTAGATGTTCTAGGCTGTGTAGGTAAAAAAGAGAATCTACAAAGGGCTGATAGACTGGGGGTGGGGCAGGGATGTTGGTAGGATCTAGGAATTACATCTCTCTCAGTTTGAATAACTTGAGTTCTTAGAATAAATCTAAAAATGATTACAGTTGGCCCTGGAACAATGCAGAGGTTAGGGTTGTCAACCCCTTGAGCAGTGAAAAATCCATGTATAATGTTTGCTAAGGGTAGGAAATTTAGAAATTATCTGACATAACGGAAAACACTTTTCTGTGTAAAAAGAGAATAAACTGAAATGAATTATTCCCCTAATGAAAGTATAATTGTACAACATAATTTACTTCTCTGAGATTCTAGCCAGCTTGAAATTAATTGAATAGCCACACTGCTTATGATTAGACAGACTAGAAAGTCCACACACAAACCTGTATCTATCATTTCCCATTTATCTTATAGTTTGCCATTGAGTAGCTGGAGACTTGAATTTTTTATTTCTTAATTGGTACTGATAGCTCTACATGGTTGCAAATAACTATCTTAAAAGAATGGAAGTTCCTTAAAGTCAGAGACTTTCACTTATTCATTTTCTGCAATATGACATCAGTGCCTGTCATATTGTAGATGTTCCACCAATATTTGTCAAAAAATGACTGAGTTCACGAACATCACAATTAATAAATATTTGTTAAACTGCCACTATATACAGGTTGATCAGCTGTGCACTTACTGAATGATCCCGTGTCTTCAGGCCATCACCACCTGATTTCTTTCTGATAATTCACAACCATTGTAGCTATAAAACAACAGTGGTCTCTAGTTGCACTCTGGTAGTGTAGCATAAAGATCTCAAACTAGAAATCAGGTGCCTTGAATCCTGCTCTGACATTAATAAGTTTGATAATTATTATTTCCAAGAAAATAACTAATTTCTGAGCTTCAATTTATTTATCTATAAAATGGAAATATAAATAAGATCTTCAAGATTTCTTTCAGCTTTAAAATTTGTAAACTGAGAATTTTTCCTTTGAAATAAAATGAGAAAGTTGAAAAGGATAAAAGAGTTCCAAACTGATCCTCAACTGCATTTAATTCTTTTGCCCATACCTGAGTGTTAGCATTCATAAAATTCAGGTCCCTTTACCTTAAAGCTTAACTGTCTTTATTTTGAATATCTTTGGGAATTTTGTTGAAAGCATTTATTTATCTTTCAATTTTTCAAGACTGTGAAGGAGAAGGAAAAGTTCTGTAAGAATACTGCAAATGCAATTTTTTAAAAAGTAGGCCACTCCTTCCATCTTGATACGGAGAAGTCCCAGGTTCCTCTTGTCAGAACCTAGCTGGACTCTAGAGTAAGATGAGGCCGGAGACCAAGACCAGGCTTGCAGAGCATAGCTTGGCATGGGGTCTGTGCCCAACTGGGAGTGGGGGCTTGTCTCTATACACGTGTTTCTTTTTGTATCTTCAGTTCTGTACCATGATCAACCACACTTACAAAGACAAGCCCACCAGTCTATGAAACGCTATGTCCTTCCCTTCATTCATTTTACTTAAAATAGACACTAAATGTATTTTTTGCATTTTTGGTTAGTCATTCTTGGATGCTTTACATATGTATGTGTATATGTGTTTGCATTACATATTGATTTATGTAATTAATGGTATTGCTTTTTGATATGAATCTAACAACTTGACAAATTTATTAATTCTAATTGTTGATTTCCTTGGATTTTCTATGTAAATGGTAATGATAATTGTAAATAATCTATTTTAGTACATTTTTTTCTTTATATCCAATAATTGTATTTCATTTCATTTCATTTTCTTGTCTTGTAGCCTTGGTCAGAGTTTCCAATATTATACTGAATAATAGTAGTGAGATAGATATAAAATAGCATTCTTATTTTTTTCCTGATGTTTAAGATAATAGTTCTAAAATTTCTCCATTAATTACAATATTTGTAGTGGTATGGGGGTGTCAATGACTTTTAACAGATGAAAGAAATTAATTTTCATCTCTGGTTTGCCAAGAGCACATATCATCAAAATGTGTTGAATTTTATCACGTGGTTTTTGTGCTTTTGGTAAATTGATTTTTTTTTCCTCCTTTAACTTTATGAGATCTTGAGCCATACAAAGTATTTAATTTTTGTGTAGTCAAATTTGTCTGTCCTTTCCTTTATGGTTTCTAGAGAATCTATTGTGCTTTTAAAAATGTCTCTAAAATCTGGGTTATAAAAATATTTTTCTGTTTTTCTTTTAAAAGACTTAATTTTAAATCTTTATAGTGTGTGTTTTGGTATGTGGTGTGACATGGAAGATCAACTTTTTTGTCTTCCTCCAGATAGATGGCTGATATGTTGTTTTGATTTGCAGTGGTTTTGAGTTTTAATATTTGTTTATAACAATAATAGAGAAGACTAATGTTTTTGAGAGTTTATTAAAAAAGTAAAAGCAAACACACAAAGAAAAGGGGAAAATATCTCACATGGACAACTTGAGCCTGTAGATTTTCTATTGGTAAGTCAAAAGCAGGGCCAAAAAAGAAATCAGCCAAACTGAATTTTCTTACTATCCAAGGTCTACTATCAGACAGAAAAGCATCATTTCATTCCCTTAATTAACAATTTTAGAGGGAAGGACTAAAGCTAATAGCTATCCATTTTGAACGTGAAGATATACCAGTTAACCAAATTTTCATGCGCCTCATTCATTATACACAAAAATGAAATGGTTTTGTTTTCTTTTTAGATAACAGTTTCTATTCCAAAGCATAGAAAAAGTTCCACTAGAATTATTGTGATTTGAAGAGATCATATTTTAAGGATCACTTTGTGTAACAGAAACTAACAGTGTTATTCTGTGAAACCTAAAAACCCTAATAAATTTGAAATTTAATTAAGTGCCTGCCTCCATTTTTACCTTGTAAAGAACTCAGTACACAATTCAGTTGTTAACTTGTTTTGTTTGAAATAGTTCTAAGATATTTCATGCCTCGGGGATTAAAATAAAACCCAGGTAGTGGTTTTAAAGAATAGACATGAGTCTTGAACACTATGTATTTGTTACAACTAGTAGAGATTTTCAAAATCATCTTTAGAAACTCCCTTATATTGTAGATGGGGAAACCGAGACTCAGAATGGCTATTTTACTTGCTCTTTTATTTTTGTTTAGCTTTTATTTCCAGTTCATAGCAGAGCCAGGACTTTAACCTCAGGTTGTTTATTCTCAATCACATGGTCCTTCTCCTGTACTGCACTGTTTGTTTGATAGCATTTTTAAATAAAACAAAACATATTTTGCAACTAGTCACACTATACAAAAAGTCTTACTCTACAAAAAGTGTAGGATGACCAAAAGAGAAATTATTAAAAATTATAATTTCATTTAAGTAAAATGTGTATAACTTCATTTACTATTTTTTTGTATAGGTGAAAAGAGATTTGAATGCCCAGAATGTTCTAAAAGATTTATGCGGAGTGATCATCTCTCCAAACATGTCAAAACGCACCAGAATAAGAAAGGTGGCGGGACAGCTCTTGCCATTGTTACCTCGGGAGAACTGGACTCATCTGTTACAGAGGTGCTTGGCTCCCCAAGAATTGTCACAGTTGCAGCCATTTCTCAAGATTCGAATCCAGCAACTCCCAATGTTTCAACCAACATGGAAGAATTCTGAAAAGTTATTTATAACAGAGACCTCTAGTGCTGCACTTAAGTTTACACACCTTTGAAAATCTGGAAATGGGCTGGTCAGGTGGATTACAGAGTAGGAAATCATGTTTCATTCTTGGCTTCTTTAAGTATTCCAGGGTTTGGGGTCAACACATAAAGTGTTGAATTTTAAAAGATCTAAAAAGCAAACTGATGTACTGGAAACAGAAAAGTATTTCCTCCATACTCTAAGTTGTAGTTATTTGGAAATATATTATATGACCTTTAAACAGAATCTTTCCATCTCTTAATATCATGTGTTAACATGTTTAAAAAAACAGACCTCAGTAGTTTGCAGGCTGGACCTTAATTGGACTTATTTTCTTTGAAAATACTTTGTTATAAATTCAGTCAGTAATAATTTACATGTATTTCTTTTTCTCTATAGCACAGAAAACAGGTAGTTAACTGACGATAGGGATAATACTATATTTCCTTAGCTTGATTTCTGGAAAATCAACTGAAAATAGTTTTGGCCGTCTTTTCTAAATGTTAGAAATTCAACAGTTGAATTAGGTAAGTTCCAAAACAGTAATCTGAGATGCATCTCAGATCTTTATTACCACTACATTATAGTAGTGTGTATGCAGACAATCAGTGAAGTCCAATTACTTTCTCCATTTGGAGACACAGGAGGAACTTAGAGCTAAATCTTAGGTTAAATTTTAGATTGAACCCTTAGGAAAACGCTAGGGGAAAAAAATGGTTAAAACAAAACTCATAATAGCTTCAGAAAAATAAAATGAGGCAACTAACATGCAATGTTTTAAAGTTAGGATTGATTATATTCTAACCCTAGGGTGAACCACAAAAATTCATTTTAAATGTTTATATTGGAAATATTTGCATAGAATGTAAATCGTTCTGTAGTTTCATATTCTGTAAATATGAGTTATGTTGACAATGTGCAGAATTCTTTATGCTTTGACTTGGTAGCCAAAGAAAGAATTATCATACTTTTTTTCAAGGCCAGCAGAAAATTATCTTTTTAACTACATTATAATTCTTGTTTTCCTATTCTAAAAATTGGCCAGTCCCATTTTATTTCTAGTTCTGTATTAGAAGGTTAATTAGGAATTTATAACACAGTAATGTCTTTGTTATGTCAATAACTGAATTTTCCCTGAAAATTAGCCTAATGAATATATAATAGATATGATATTATGAAGCAAAACTTATTTTTGAAAAATCAGAATAATTTTCAGTCAAATAAGTGACTAAAGAAAAATATATTTCATTGTTTATGTAAGGGTCTTATAGAAAAGGGTCTTATTAGGAAAGATGGCCAAAAGTTTCATATGAAAAAAATTGGGATTATAGCAGTAGTTTAAACGTTACTAAGATATTTTATGTTTTTAAAAAGTATTTACACAGAATCATAATCAGGAAAATTGACCGTTTGAAAACTAAAGTGTTTACCTGCTCAGTTTATTAACATCATTGGTTTGGGGACTGTTTGAATATAAGTACATGTTTTCTTGTGCATTCTCTATTATTTCAGGAAAAGTACTACTCATGCGAATTCTCTTCCAAAATTGTAATGTTTCTTGTATTTTTGATGAAGGAGAAATACTGTAATGATCACTGTTTACACTATGTACACTTTAGGCCAGCCCTTTGTAGCGTTATATAAAACTGAAGGTCTTTTGTGCTTTCAGTTTGTATAAAAAAGCTTTGAGATTAAAGGAAAAAAAATTTTTACACTGTGGTTATAAATTTCAAGTTTCTTAAAGCTTTTGTAGACTTGTAACAGAGTCTTTAAATTTTAGTTGGATTTTGTAAATTGTTTTGTATATTTTATTTAATGTACTCTTAACAACTGATGTATCTGGCTTTAAAACATCAGAATCAGTTTGTTGTTTTGTTTGGTACAGAGAAGCATTTGGTAGTGTTAATTTTAATTTTATTATATAGGAGCTGAAACATCAAATATATATTTTATCTATCATGCTACACAATCAGTGCTATAAATTTTTTTATGCAAAGAAACTTTCTTAATGTTTTAATCATGTTTCCTCAGAGTGACACTTTTGTTGTTGTTAATACCAAGTATGAGCACTCTGCATCATTATTCCATGAACCAGTTTTAATGCAAACCTATGTATGTTCATTAGAAATGGGTTATTTTTAATCAACAATGAGGCCTATTATAAATTTATCAAACTAAATCTGGATAGCTTTATAGCATATAAACTATATTAATTTGTGTTAGCAGGTGCACATTTCACCACTGAAATTAGAAATATTTTGACAGTCTGTTCTGCATACCATTCTGAGTCCACTTTTCTGTCTTATAAGAATCGTAAATTTCAATGTCCTTTATTTGACTCAGTGGGATATAGCTGTTATAAGTAATAGGGCACAGATGTGCAGTAGAGTCTTGTTTAATGGCATTTCACTGTTCATTCCCTTTGCCACCGTTATAAAACTTTTCTTTATTGTAATTATCAGTGCAAAGCTATGTATTTATCATGGTAAAACTCCAGTGTTAGAATAGTTTTTTCTTACAGTATACTTTCTTTGGTTAGGTTTGTGTATGTGTTGCTGATTACATTAGAACTTGATGTTAAGTCATTATTTATCACACTCTCATGAGAGCAGTAATAAAAAGTGTGTAATCTAGGAGAAAAAGTTAATTTGTCAAACTTAGATAAGCATGATGTTTAGGTCCTATTTTTCAATTTTATAACTGTTTTATTGCAACAATATTTGTATTTAAGTCTCCATTTTAATGCCTTGTGGTGTTTTTTTATGCATGTCACTAAGTTGTCATCCCACATAAATTGATGTGCAGCATAGGGTATTAAATCTACATAATGATTTTAAAACAGAAATAGTTGATGGTAAAATGTAAATGTTTTGCAAAAATTCCTTATAAAAAGTTTTGTAGTAACATTTCACTTGTAAATTTTTTTGTAAAAAAAAAAAAAAGAAGGAAAATGGAAAAAAAAAGATGAATCCAGAAAAAAACCTGTTTCCCATATCCTAGAATTTAGACAATTATTCTGCCAGCAAAGCCTCTGGGGCTGTAATTGACATTTTTACAGTGCTGATTTGTATAAAATTTGTTTTTTGTGGATTTGGAAATAAAATCATGTACAAGTTGTTGCCTGCAATAACCATTGCAAGTAACCTATTAAAAATTCCCTTGAGTTTAACATGTTTCATTTAATTATGTACACTATAAAACAGCAATAAATTGTTTGAACTATCAACCTTCTTATCACGATGAACACTCGAAAGTTAAATGCTTCTCACTAGAAAACGTATTGGCAACCCTTCATAATTTGTGGTGTTAAGATCTGGTCACCATTTCTCTGAACATACGGCCAAAGAACACCAAATTGCATGTTAATTTGTAGCCATTTCTCTAGACATTTATTGAAATTAAAATTTGATTTAGAGACACTTTTTACTTAAGTATTTTTAAGCAATAAATGTTAGGAAATTGTAGGAAGATCTAAAAACAAAAAACATAATTAAAATATTATGTAAGCTCACAGAATCGCTAAGAAGCAATGTAGGCCACATAGATGCCACAGAGACTATAAGCGAAAACTGTCTTTTCTGCCTGGGAGAGCCTTGCAAATCTCATGAAGAACCTTACTGCCATAATACATTACTGTAACCACTTCAGTTAACACATTTTAAAGCCCACACCAGATTAGATATAGAAATAGCAAAGAGAAGGGGCGTGGGGAAAAGTGTAGGATGTTAGGCAGCAAGGGAAGTGATCAAAGACTGTCCAAAGATTCTAAATCTTATGTAGTAAGGAGGATATAGTGTATATAGTGTATGGGTAGATAGCCTTGTGCAGCGAATCCCTAAACGCATGGTTATATGACAACTTAGAATAATAATATGTACTCATAGCGGTGCCTCTGAGTCAAGGAACAGTTAAATTTATGCCTCTGCAAAAAAAGACAGGAATAAATATGTCAAAATATCTTTTTCTATCAAAAGTAAAGATGTATTTCAATTACCTGAAAAATGTACATTTGGAAGCAGGATGATATTGTATAAAAGGGGATAATGCAATCAGAAAAGAAAAATTTAATTTTTAAAAATTTTTAATATAGTAACAGCCTGGTTCTTGAACTTCTGGGAATTTCAGCCACATGAACAACACCGAAGCACAAAGGAAAAAAAGGATAAATCACTTTATCATAGATTGTTGACTTAAAATTGTTGATGTAATAAATTAGGAAAGTCGAAGCAATACTAAGTAACACTAATGTGTGGTTTACAATGCCACACTTCAAGATGTGACAACTTCAAGATAATGGAAGAAAATAATATATTCAGTATAGCTTGTTATTTGAAAATTCAGGTGCTTGATTAGAGGGATGCAGAGACTTCAAGTGTCTGCAAGAAGCGTGAACTACTTTATTCCTCCATGAATCTGAATAATGTATTGCTATATTTACAGCCCAAACAATGCTTGCTTAATATACACACAACCAACTTGTGTAGCAGGATTTTTAGGGTATATATTTCTTTTTGTTTTTCCCATTTTTTTAAAGATTTTTCTGATTAGCATAAACTTTGGGCTCTGTTCCTCTTAGTAGAAGGTGACAATGAAATATTAATAATTTATTTTTGGATACCTGAGAGTAGTCTCAAGCAGAAATAGTGGAGGGAAGGCAGAGAAGGAGGGAAGAAAAAGGAGCATAAAGGCCTATTATTATGCAGAGAGTTGATCTCCCTGGTAATGTTATAGCAAAGCACTGTGACAAAAGAAATCGTGGACTAGGAGTCCCAAGTTCAGGCTGGATTCCTGGTTCAGCCACTTACTAGCCACATAACTTCAGGAAAGTTATCTAACCTTTCTGCACCTCTGTTTTTCTCATTTGCAAAATGGGGATGATAATGCCTCAGATCTTTCAAGAAGAGCAAATAAGAACTATATCAAGCACCTGACACAGCAGTGCTCAATAGGTAAAGTTACTGCTATTGATTATAAAGTTAACCCAAAAGGCACATGGCTGTCTTAGACCATGTTTGCTGCTACAGCAAGGTACCATAGACTGAGGTGGCTTATAAATACCAAAAATTTGTTTCTCACAGTTCTGGATACTAGGAAGTCCAAGGTCAAGATGTTGGCAGATTTCAGTGTCTGATGAGGGCCTGTTCCCTGGTTCATAGATGGCAACTTTAGCTGTGTCCTCACATGGTGATAGGGAATAAGCAGCTTTCTGGGTCTATTTTGTAAGGCACTCGTTGCATTCCTTAGGGCTCCACTTTCATGATCTAATACACTTCTCAAATACCACCTCCTAATATCACATTGGTAATGAGGTCTCAACATATGAATGTTGGGGGGACACAGCATTCAGACTATAATGGGGGTGTGAAATAGTTCCCTTGGGACCAATGCTGAAATGCCTTGAAAATGGGCAATAATACATTGAAGAATTAATTCTCAAAATCCCATAAAGAAAAAAGAATTTCAGTGGGAATTTTCCATTTCAAATGTATAGTTTTCTCCAACTACCTATGAGCTAGTTTGTG